ACTCCCGGTTTCCAATCAGGTGGCCCCACCCAGCTCAGTGAAGTTTTGCCTTATAGTCACTGCCAGAGGGGGCGGAAGGGACCTGCTAGTGCAACTTACAGGGTCTGCACAGAGAAAGGAGATGCTACATGATGGTGGGAAGACCTTGTCTCACCCGTGACCTTTAGCTGATAGTGATGTGGCTCTTCAAGCTAGTTGCCTTCAGGAGTGGAGTCCATAAAGGGGTGGCCCCAAGCCCCTCACAGAATCTCCAATGTAGACCTCCAGTGTCCTTTAATGATGTATTATTGGACGGGACCAGCCCTGGAGGCTTTAACAGCCTTCCTCTGTGATCTGTAAGTTTTGAAAGGCTCAGTATCTACTGTCTTTCTTTAGGACATTGATGGAAGGTCCCAGTGCTCACATTTTATGCTTATTAGTGATACTTTTCATGAGTTTCCAGGGCTAGAGGGACTTTTCCACGCTATTTAATGATTTTCAGTTTAACTCTCTTTCTGAGTGGGATGTTGTAAAGATTAATTAGCCAGTGTTCATAAAGTGCTTTCAAGCTGAAAAGTACTGCACAAGGGTGTGCAGACTCATTAGCTTCTTAGTCATTAAGGCTTTTTAGACCTTTTGGCATTCAGAAACTAGACAGTGAAGGCCAAATTCGTATTTTTTCTTGGAGGAGGGGGACCTAAAAAAGAGCAGAATAGAATAGTATCCCTCTTTCTTTTTTGAAAAAAAAGACATCTGTTGCACGGGGACTGGAAAAAAGATTAAGATTTTTCATCATCTCCTATATCCATACTGCTTCTGCTTCTTCTTACTCCCTCCTTTCAAAATGTGTTTATCTGATTCTTCTGCACATTTGTTTAGAAACTCTATGATTATATTGTCGTGTAGTTATCCATAGTGGAACTGATTCTGGCCTCAGAGCGCTGAATTGTTGTACTGATAAATGACACAGGGTAGGTAGAGCATTCCCTTTGTAAATAAAGATTCCCCTCTCGGTTTGCAATGTGTCAAAAAGGTGTAATATTGTCTCCATCCTCAGTAATATTTGCTCAATATATTTAGAGTTCTATATGATTTAGTTAAGCCTGTGACTGAGGCTGGAAAAGTACAGACTGGCCACCAAAGATATAAAGAGTTTCTAAGAGAAGCCAGGGACAAAGATGGATAATGTACAATGAATTAGATTGACAGTGGACATTTTAGCAGCATCAGCTGCACATGATGGGGGAATAATATGAGAGACAGTGGTCAATCTAGAATTGTATACCAAACTAAATTACCTTTTAAGATTGATCATAAATAAAGACCTTTCTATACAAACAAAACACATTTACCACGAATACTAAAGGATGTTCTAAAGGATTCGAAAAGAGAAAATTATTTCAGAAGGAAACAAGAAGAGGCTAGAAGGAACAAAGAGGAAAAAATTGGGAACCATGTGGGTAAATCTAAAAAAGCATTAGGTAATAATAATAATGTCCAATTTGCAGTAACAAAACAAGGTATAAGTAAAAAAAGCAAAAAAGTAACATGTATAACAGGAAAGTTAAAGTATTCAACCTTCTTATCTTATTTGGAAGGAGGCTAAAGATATTAAAATTAGATTTTATTAAGTATGCACATAGACTTTCTAGTTTTAATCACTAAAATAAAAGAAATGTAATGTAGTGGGGGAGGGGAATCAATGGAATGAGAAAATAAAATCGATAGCAACTGGCTCAATAAAAAGGGAATAAATAAATTTACCATGGATCTTAGTAATTTCTCCTGGGCTCTTACTTTACAATTACAACTACTAAGTAACTATGTTGTAGAGTTCATATCAATATACCAACAGGACAAATGAAAAATAAAATAGTCTTACTGATATGTGAACAGCTATTTCTGGCTTGGGATAAAGTGTTCAGTAACAGCATCATTTTGATAACACAGGACATGGATTATAGTAGAGGAGCCTCAAATATAGAGAACACAGATCTTTCATAATGGACAGTAAGCTTGCCTGACCTCTACTCCAGAGAATATTATCTTAATTATGCTTTATATTAAACAAGTCTGCTCTTTGCTCTGGAAGAAGACACTTTTTTTCCAAGGCCATTCATTATACAAACACCTTTGAAATATAGAGCAGTGCCTTTGTTTTTACGTTGTGCAGAAATGTGAGAGATCCATGGAGAGATATCTCCCAAAAAGTTTGGATAAGTTTGTAAAGCCCAGTTTTCTTATCTGAAAAATAAAATGAATGGTATAGCATATGTAGTTACAAGGATCAGATGATATAGTATGTATAAAATGCTTAATGTCATATCCAAGGACTTTGTCAATATCGATTACTACTATAAATGATTATTTCTTGAGTAAAATGTGAGCATGTTTATTGAATTCTTTGTTTTCTCCAGCAAGTAGAATATTACAGCTCATAGATGTTTCTACTTATCACCAAGTATTAGAATTAAAAAGGATTAGGAAGATTACCCAACGAAACCAGGCATTTTACAGATAAGGAAATAGGTTCAGAAAGGTTAAGTGACTTGTTGGCTTTCACACAGAACAGCCATATAAAGGACAATGGTCATCTAACTTAATAGTCACATAATTTTTAATGAGACCCAGTGCTTGGAGCTCAATAAATATTGGCATTACAAAGGAATTGAAGCAAGCCTATGATATATTAGAAAACATTTCACATATTTATTTGGTCATTCTCTTCTACATACTTGCTTGACCTCTGAACCACCTTAAACTTGGCCCCTGAAGGCAGATAAATACAGGAAGAAAGAGAGGAAAGGAGAAAGGAAGTCAGGAAGTCAAGAAGGAAAGAGAGAGAGAAGAAGGAAGGAAAGAGGAAGGAAGGAAGGAAGGAAGGAAGGAAGGAAGGAAGGAAGGAAGGAAGGAAGGAAAGAAAAAAAAAAGAAAAGGAAAGAAAGAGAAGGAGGAAGGAAGGGAGGGAGGGAGAGAGGAAGGAAGAAAAAAAGAAAGAGAAAGAAAGAAAAAGAAAGAAAAAAGAAAGAAAGAGAAAGAAAGAAAAGGAGAAAAATAAAATAACCTGTATCCCCTCCTTCCCTCCACCTCCATCATAGTCACTGTCTCCAGAGCAGAGTCAAAACAACAACAACAACAACAACAACAACAACAACAACAACAACAACAACAGGAAACTACAAGAAAAGTGCTGTGTGTGTAGGTGATGTTGAAAGTGGTCCCATTCTGGCTAAAGGCAGGGAAATTCTGGCAGAATATCTGGCATCTTTATGTCAACAGCTTTATCCTGGCTTACCAACAAACTTCCTAAGGCATGAGGGGGAGTAGTAATGAAGAGGAATGAGGGGGCGACAGAAATAGCATCCAGTTCTAGGAGGCACCATGTTGTAAGACATGATCATGAGGTGTAGCATAAGATGACCAGAGTTCCTGTGTGAGTTTGAGCAAGTTACTGAATTTCCTGATCTCTAAAATGTACTTAAAATTTTTCCATGACAAGTTGATGTGCCATTCAAATAAAGAAATGAAGTGAGAGTGTTTGGCACCTCATTAAATAGAAGGTCCTCATTAAATAGAAGTTGGAATCAAATTCATTGAAGGAATTTATCCAGGAAAGATCTGTAAAAATCAGCCAGCTCACTGATTTTGTACTTCTGCTTAATACCAATTCCATCATTTCTCTGTTTTCTGTAAGAGTGGTGTCACAGCATTGGCTTCTACGGCCTTGTGAAATACTTTCTGGGACCTCAGGTCACAGCTGAATATGCCCAGGTAGCCAAAGCAAGATCTAATAGGAAAGCAATGATAAGGAATGTGGATTGTTCTTCATCTTTTGTCTTTCTCAAGCCTGCTGCAAAAACACCTCCCACTCTGGGTAATTCTTTTCTGGGTGTCCCTGGGGTGTCTCACACTGTTCCTGCCATTCTTATCCGTCGCCTGTGGTAAACTCTTCTAGGAATTGGGAGCTGCTCTGTTTTGTCACTGCTCTAGAGTACCCCTTCACAGGACCTTGTACTGTGTGTGTGTGTGTGTGTGTGTGTGTGTGTGTGTGTGTGTGAGAGAGAGAGAGAGAGAGAGAGAGAGAGATTGAGAGAGAGAAAGAGAGACAGACAAACAAGGAGACAGAGGGAGGAAGAAACATGCACTTTTCTATCTGCTTTAGAGGAGTCCCAAAGCAATATTACTTGTCCCAATGTGCTATGTTGTAAAGAGTTTAGGGAAATAGTTCTTTTGGTTTTTACTTGGGGTATTTTCTCTCCCTTTGGAGTCAGAGATTCTGGAATGAATTTGAGTGAGAGTGCCAGGCAGTACTGAAAATCAGTGATACTGAAATGATGAGAAAGTCTTTGTTGGGATTGAGCCCACCACACCTAGCTGTTTCTTCCCATCGGAGAAGTGTTCTCTTAAAGAATCCCCAGCCTTTCCTCAAACAGGCTTCAGTAGGACATCCCACAAATTTGCATTCAATCCAGTTATGTCAACAGAACGGTGGGCACATTTTGAGCTCTTTTGCTTCAGGCTACTAGGCCCTCAGGTTGCTAAATTCCTACTGGGCCCTTGCAAACTTCAATCTGTAGCTGACATTGCCAGGGTCAAGCTAAGATCCCCACTACAGATAACTTATGTGCAAAGAAATTGACTCACAGCCTGCTTGCCTCCAAATGTGAATGTGGGCACTTGCCTTAGATTCTAGATATATAAATTTATTCATTTATTCTTTTTTCATTGATCAGAGAAGGAATGCACAGATGATGTAGATACAGTTCCTGTATCATAGTCATCATAGCCTGTTGCTTCACTTTATATGCTCATAGATATGACTGTCCATGGTTAAAGCTTCACTGAGACGATGTTATAGTTAACTCTGAAAAATATCCTTTCCAAAGTTAAAATACTAGTATCAACAATTCCATACTCAATTTCTGTGATTGAAAACAAAGTATTATGATCAGGCCAATGCAGGGAATGTGGAATTTGGTGCAGTGATGTTTTAATGTTTTTAACACTCTCTTTGCCCCCAGGTTATGCAGATGTATCTTCCATTTTGTGGAATTGCCATATCTAATGCTCAGCTATTTGCTGCCTCAAGGAAAGAGTATGAAAGAAGCAGGGTGAGTGGAAAGAAACACTGTTGACAATCCTCAAAGCTCTCTGACTTTCAAGTGTCTGTGAGTCATCATGTCTTTTAAAAACAGCAGATGAACTTTGAATAGTCCAGGAATCCTTTTAATTTGTTTAATCCTTCAAATTTATGGTTGAAGATACCTATAAGCATTAAGTCCAAATGGAAGTGGATACATATTTTCTGTTGTTGTTTGGGGAAATAGTACCAGCTTCTTTTAAAAATGAAATTAACTTCAGGGAGCCCGGGTGGCTCAGTTGGTTAAGTGTCCAACTCTTGATCTCAGCTCAGGTCATGATCTTATGGGTCCTGAGATCGAACCCCGCATCAGGCTCTGCTGACAGCATGGGGCCTGCTTGGAATTCTCTCTCTCTCCCTCTCTCTGCCCCTCCTGCATTAGCATACTCTCTCAACATATATAAATAATCTTTAAAAAAAATGAAATTAATTCACATCTATACTGTAAGGCAGCAGATATATTCTTATGGCTTTGAGACAATAACACACTAAATTGTACAATTTAGTTCCTTTAAGAAGCAAGGTATGTTACAAATGACTTCACTCCATCTCATAAATTTTGCTTTTGAATTCAAAGTTTTTCTGGAAGAGCATCACAAGATGGCTGGACAATAATGCAAACACTTTTATAGGATTATAAAGACACACACAAAGAGGGATTGATCTCCTATACCTTCACCAGCTTTAGAGTTAAATAGGAAAGAAAGAGAGGAAAGAAGGAGGAGAGAAAGAAGAATAGCAGGTGGGCCGATACTCAAAAAAAAATCTGAACTATCAAATAGAGATTAAATTATATTAAGCTTATTATACCTTTTTTTTAATTTTTATTTTTTATTTTTAAGTAATCTTTCCACCCAATGTGAGACTCAAACTTATGACTTGAGAGATGAAGAGATGTCCGTGCCACTGACCAGGGACTTGTTATACTTTTATTTTATTTTATTTCATTTTATTTTATTTTATTTTATTTTATTTATTTATAACTTTTTTAATGTTTTTTTATTTTTATGAGAGAGAGAGAACCAGAGAGTGAGCAGGGGAGGGGCAGAAAGGGAGACACAGAATCTGAAGCAGGCTCCAGGCTCTGAGCTGTCAGCACAGAACCTGACACAGGTTTCGAACCCATGAGCTGTGAGATCATGACCTGAGTAGAAGTCTAGCACTCAACCAACTGAGTCACCCAGGTGCCCCATTGTTATACGTTTAAATACATGGAGATTACTGCCACAACTTAGAAATTTATTTAACAAGGTTTCAAAAAGTTAGAAATCCTCAGCTAATTAGTAATCAAATTGACTAAAAGTTTCATTGGCTAAGCATTATGATTTATGAATATTTCACAGCCAACAGATGCACACAACAGATTACTACAGCCATCTTCTTTAACATAGCATACCACACCATTTCTCTGACTTGGATCCTGTTTTTGTCATCAGCCCCATGGCTTACCATTTTCCTCCTTTCATTTGGCACTCCAGCAATAGTCCCCTGTTGCCAGAATACAGCCTGTTACTTTACTTTCTTATACCTTTAGCCACATTCCTCCCTCTGCCTTCAGTGCATCATGTCCACCTTTTCCTCCCACCACCACCTGCCTTACAGATCCTTCAGGACCCAGCTCAGCCTTCTAGTTAATCCTCCCTTCCTTTCTTCTCGTCATTCCTTGTATATATCGCCGTTATTCTACTTGTGGACACTTATCACACTGTATAATATTTATTGGTAGCATTGTTCTCCACCTACATTTTGAAGTCTCTAAGGGACGCTTCATGTATTATTGATCTTTACATCCTCACGTTTGGCACAATTTATTTACCTGTTCAGCACATTTATTGTGTGATGTTCTTCAGACACTGTGTGTCCGAAGTCCCTGCCCTCATAGAACTTACTATTCTAGTGGAAACGATAGTAGGCAAGCAAACAAATACAAAATAATATAGTATCAGGTAGTGGTAAGTGCTATAACAAGTGAAATGAGATAAAGGGATAGGATTGGTCACTGAAGGATAGTTTGGGAGGATGTTTATTTCAGATCATGATCAAGAAGTTCTCTATAAGATGTTATTTGAACAGAGACCTAAATGAAATGAAGGAGCAAAACCACACAAAGATCAGGGAAGAGCATTCCAGATGGTGGAAATATCAAGTGGAAAGGCACCGCGGCAGGTGAAAGCTTGATCCATGCATCTGGAGAGTAGAGAGGAAGGACTCAAATAACCAAAGCAATCCTGAGAAAGAAGAACAAAGCTGGAGGCATCACACTTCCTGATTTCAAACTATAATACAAAGCTATTGTAATCAAAACAATATGGTACTGGCACTAAAAACAGACACAAGACCAGTGGGATAGAATTGAGAGCCCCAAAATGAACCCATGCTTGTAAGTTAACATATATAGGATAAAGAGGCAAGAATACTTAATGGGGAAGAGATAGTTTTTCTAATAAATGGTGATGAGAAAACTAGATAGTCACATGGAAGAAATGAAATCAGACCCCTGCCTTACACCACTCACAAAAATTAACTTGAATTAAAGATATAAGTGTAGGACATGAAACTAAAACTTCTAGAAGAAACATAGGAGAAAAACTCCATCAATTTTTTGACTCTAATGCAAAAGCACAAGCAAAAACAAAACAAAAAAAAAACAAGAATAAACTAGTGGGACCGCATCAAACTGAAAAGCTTCTGCACAGCAAAAGAAACCATCAACAAAATGAAGAAGCAGCCTATGGAATGGGAGAGAATACTTGCAAATTGTAATTATGTGAGGTGATGGACGTGTTAACTAACTTTATTGTAGTAATCATTTCACAATATGTACCTGTATCAAACCATCATATTGTACACCTTAAACTTACATAAAGTTATATTTCAATTATATCTTAATAGAGCTAGGGATAAAAAGAAATAATGTGGCTGGAATTAGGGCAGTGAAAAGTGAGAGATTCCTCCCAAAATTGGCAGTGAAATGTACAAAGCTTACTGATGTGGGAAATGAGTGAAAATGACTTTTGGCTTGTACAGATGGCAAGTAAACAGCTGGGTACAGGAGTCTAAAGGTCTGGTGAGATGTCAGGACTCAAGATTCATATTTAAGAACTATCAGTATATATAGATGGCATTTAAAAGTAGGGTACCAGTTTGGGTAATCTGGAGGAGAATATGTGGATAAGAGAAGGGAAGAGGTCCAAGGATGAGCCCAGGAACAAAAGAAGGCACTAGAAGGAGCGGGAGGGGGAAATACAAGTGAAATAAAGAAATGGGGAGTGTTCAGCTGTATGAATGGCCTCTAATGTCTATTGAATTGCCTATCATCCTAGATTTCCTTCTCTTTTTCTCCCATCGTGGAACTAGTCTGTATTGTTATTTGTGAAACTTTTATCACTTGTTAGTAGAGCAGCAATTTTTAATTAGAAACAGTAAAATTACTATGATGTGCTTTGTCAGTGCAAGACTCAAGGCACAATTAGTTTTTCCTCTGAGATAAATGTTTTTGTATATGGGTCCCAGAGGCCCTATCCACGCAGTCACAACAAATTGAAAAGTTAAATAATTGTTCAGTTAATATGATCCATCTGAAGAAATAGTCTAGATGATTAAGGAAATAATGGTTTCCCCCTTAATAACAGGGAATTGTGTTGGTAATTATTTAGACAATTGCCTCATTTTTAATGTTATATTTAAGTATGAAATTATTGCACATTGCCTTCTTAACAGCAATTTGCTGTCCAAATGCCAAACAGTCAGGATACACTCAAAACTTTTTTCACCTCCTGGTGTTTCTCCACATCAGGATCATAGAGCTACCCAGGGCCTTTAGCCACATTCACAAGCTCTCTTTAGAGAAAATGCTACCAAGGATATTTGATCCTCTTTTAGATGCTCAGTGAACTAGACTCATTTCATGGATCTCTTAACTCATTCAAATGCTTTTCTACCTGAACAGACTCAGAGAAGAAATTTTCACATGTTTCCAATGGTTTCAGGACAAATCAAATTCATTACTAAAGTTGACAATTGGTCATATCCCTGGGATGATCATCAACACCATCTACCTGAATAGATGTTAATTTGAAAACCCACAAAATCCTTTTGTGAGAGGTCAGACCTGAGAGTGTACATCTCATTAAGTTCTACTGAACAAAGCACCCTCTGGACAATTCACTGGCTGTGTAATTTTCTTATTGCTCTCTGATAGAAGCATAATATCTATTACCTGTACATAGCCCACTTTTCTGAAATCTCTGGAAAGAGCCATGTAATTAAAAAGTCCAAATAAATATTATTTCAATGCAAAAATTGCAAGTTAACTTAGCTGGATAAAATAACAGGTTATTGCAATTTGATTTTAAATGAGTATGCAGTTTTCAAGTTAGAATTTTAAGGGTTTTTTTCTTTAGTTTGTGTGCTTTTCATTCTGTTGTTTTAACAGAAATTTTAATGGTACTTTCTTTCCTGAGATATATAATAGTATTTAAATGTTTTCCTGTGCAGGTGGAATGAAACAATACTTCTTGTGTAGAGGGATTAATGAGGGTTTTATATATATATATATATATATATATATATATAATAATTAGTAATATATATATTTATATACATAAAATATATATGTGTAATATATATATTAATCCATATATATATGGATTAGTGGGGGATATATATATATATATATATATATATATATATATATATATGGCTCTGAAGCTTAATTAGCATTCACCACTATAATTCCTTCAGAATTCTGTGAGAAGTATATACTAGGGAAAATATGTCTCAAGTTTGACCATGAACCCATTTCTTCCTGATGGTGAGGAAGAGCTGCTTTGTAATTTTCTGAAATAAATGTGCTTTAGAGAGAATCAGGTATTGATATAACATAAAATGTTGAGTTTATACCTAGTCACATTGCAGAAAAACTGCAGGAGAGGGTGGGAGTGGGGCATGGAGGAAAGCTGAGAGCTAAGGACTAAATGGGACTGTGTAGTCATTAGCTACTTGGGAAATAGTTCTATAGCTATATGTAGGATTCATATGGGATTATATGGATTGGCACTATTTTCAAGTTGTGTCTTCCAGCTCAAAACTCTGTGATAAAACAAAATGATGGAATATTTCAAAACAATCATGAATGCTTTAAAAATTAGCCACACGGGCACCTGGGTGGCTCAGTTGGATAAGTGGCTGACTTCAGCTCAGGTCATGATCTCGCGGTCCTTGGGTTCAAGTCCCACGTTCAGGCTCTGTGCTGACACCTCGGAGCCCAGACTGTCCTTTGGATTCTGTGTTTCCCTCTCTCTCTGTCCCTCCCCTGCTTGTGCTATCTCTCTCTCAAAAATAAATAAACATTAAAACATGTTTTTAATTAGCCACACAAATATATTTATATTTTATTATAGCAAAGACAAAATGGAATTTTGAGAGAAAAAAAAACATTTTTATTCAGTCCTATACCCACCTAGATATATCCATTTCATCTTTCCTAGGCTTTGCTAGAGGTTGTTAATGACCTATTTGAAGAACAGACTGACCTGGAGAAAATTGTCAAGAAAATAATGCATCGGGCCCAAACTCTGTTGAAATGTGAACGCTGTTCTGTTTTACTCCTGGAGGACATTGAATCACCAGTAAGTCATTTTTTATCTGTCACCTAGAGTTGCAGACTGCATTAATGGAATAAAGTGTAGTTTGTTTGTAATTCAGCTTGTGAAATCATGACTCGAACCACTCCCTTCATGACTCTTCTAACCATGAGATGGCTTTTTATAAAATTAAAATTTTTTAATTCCTTTTACATGTATTTTCAGTCTTGTGTTGCGTCATCTTAGAAACATGGACTCTTAGGTTGGTGGGGCCCTTAGAGGTCTATCCCAGTCCCGAGTATTTACAGATGAGGGAACTGAGGGGTTGGATGGTTTGCCCTGTCCCTCCCAGATGCATAGACATTAGCTTAGGTGCCAGGTTCCTATCGTATTCACCCAGTGCGAAGAAGGCCCTTGGCATCTATGGGTGTGGATTGCAGTCCAGATGATGCTCCACAGTCCTCTTATCAGGAGGAGGAAGCAAAAACATGCTGGAGAAACAGTGCCTTTGCTTTTGGAGCTCAAGCAGATTGTACTTGAGCTGAGTGGAGTGACAAGCCTCAGTTGGGCTGTGCTCTGCAGCAAAGGTCTGAACTGCAGTCTCCAAGTTCTCTTACAGTTGCTTTGGAGCTGGGGACACTTGCACAGAACATGGGGCAGGTGGAGGAGGCTCCCTGCTCTTCACCGCAGGGGGTCCTGGTACTCCAAAGGCAAGTGGCAAGCTAGTTCAAGGCCTCAGGTCTGCAGCACCTCAGCTGTCAGGTTTCTGTTGAGCCCTTTGGCTCTTTGGGGGAAAATCCACTGGGTAAACACACAACAGTATTGAAAATAATGATCATCATCAATCTAACTTCTTGAAAGTTAAATGTCTAAACCCTTAGCAGCAATTTAATATCTTTACTGTGAACTGTCTTCCAAGACCAGGAATTGTCTAGCTATTTAAGTGCTGTTTTAATACCTCAGAGGATGATATTTTACTGTACTTAGAAGAGGTTATTATCTTTGCCTTTAGGTTTGTTTTCTTCAAAGAATAAGAACCTTAGGGTAAATCTGGGAGATTTAATAATAAGTATTGTAAAATTTCAACATGAAGTGTGAAAAAAAATCTATATTTGTTTAAAATGTTTAGGGGTGTGGGGCGCCTGGGTGGCTCAGTGGGTTAAGCGTCCGACTTCAGCTCAGGTCACGATCTCACGGTCCGTGAGTTCGAGCCCCGCGTCGGGCTCTGGGCGATGATGGCCCAGAGCCTAGAGCCTGCTTCCGATTCTGTGTCTCCCTCTCTCTCTGACCCTCCCCCGTTCATGCTCTGCCTCTCTCTGTCTCAAAAATAAATAAACGTTAAAAAAAAAATTAAAAAAAAAATAAAATGTTTAGGGGTGTTTGCCTATAATTTAGCAGAGCTGGGGGTTATTTCTATTTTAGCAAGTGTGGATTAAACAAACAATAACCTTGCCATTATCCTGTGATTGTGTAAAACTCAGTGGAACTTTGGGAGGGGACACACACCACACACACACACACACGACCCAATAACCTATATGGAATGCTTCCAGATGCTTTTGTGAATCACTTGACTTCACTTACTTCCCCTTCATCCTTATGAAACAGGCATTATTATCATCTCAGTTTATTGAGCAGGAAATAAGGCTCAGACGGTTGAGTGGCTTGCTGGAGTCCTCCCTCCCCACCCCACCCCCTGACTCTGAAGCCTCAGAAAGGAATGGGGGGGGGGGGGCTGGTGGTGCTTGTTGGTGTAGGCAGGCTGTAGGCTGTCACTAAACAAAGGCAGGAAGAGGCAGCTGTTGGGGCTTCGGCTGCCAGGATTCCCTGAACCACCCCCTGGGTCCCTGTGAGGGCAAGTGGCTGGAGGGCCAGGTGGAATCTGGACAAGGACAAGCTCACTGTTTGCTAGTTCAGTTGTAAACAGACCTGCAAGTAACTAAAACCAGCTGAGGGTGGCCATTCTTGCTAATCTTTTAACAGAGACTGGTTTTTGTGCTGTGGCCTTGCTCTTCAGCACGTCAGATGAAAAAGTACAGATGACAGAAGTGGATATGGAAGGTGGGGATAGAGCTGGAGGGAAGAGTAGGAACAGTGTAGGGGGTGGGTGTCAAAAACCACTCTATGGGGCGCCTGTGTGGCTCAGTCGGTCAAACATCTGACTCTTGATTGCAGCTGAGATCATGATCTCACAGTTCATGAGTTTCAGTCCCCATTGGGTTCTGCACTAACAGCACAGAGCCTGCTTGGAGTTCTCTCTCTCTCTCTCTCTCTCTCTCTCTCTCTCTCTCTCTCCCTTCCCCTCTGCCCCTCCCTGCTTGCATGCTCGCTCTCTCTCTTTCTCTCTCAAAATAAATAAATAAACATAAAAATCCCAACTATCTATAGTAGATGGTATCAGCATTAAAGGTGTTGATATATTACTGAAAGTTAAAAAGACTTTTTTGCTACCACAGCTGAAAATTCTCAGACTGTAATGGTGGGATTAGAGCAGAAAATTCCAGGCCACTCTACACGATTTCTTCTCTTTGCCCATCCCCTCCCCTTGAAAGTGAGGATGAGCTCCTCTAATCTAGAGGGCCAAGGTCTAGAGGTAAAAGTCAGCTATGTGCAAAAAGAGGAGACTAATCTGCTTGGTACTGTTTTAAAAGCTATAAAGAGTTTTTGGCAAGGGACTGCCTGGGTTGCTGTGGGAGGGGTGAAGGCAGGAGTGAGGTTATATACATGTGGGTCACCAGGTAGAAACCCCATCAGTGCCATGCTCTTCTTTAGCACACTTCCCACCAAAGACTTCTCAAAACGTCAGACTCCCCCTGGTTGTGTGATAGCAGTTACGGGAAGGACGCCAGACACGGTCATGCCAAGTACAGAAGGAGAAGCCAGACCGAACTGGTACCAGGTGCCAAAATCTGACGCTGCACAATTCAGCAAACAAAAGCAAGACTGTGCACTCAGGGCTCACGAGGCTGGCCTCTCCCAACAGGTATCTTGGTTGTGAAGAACATTTTAACCTTAAATTTTTTTAAATGTTTATTTATTTTTGAGTGGGGAGGGGCAGAGAGAGAGACACACACACACACAGAAGGCGAAGCAGGCTTCAGGCTCCCAGCTGTCACACAGAGCCCGACTCGGGGCTCAAACTTGGGAGCAGTGAGACCGCAACCTGAGCTGAAGTCAGATGCTTAACTGACTGAGCCACCCAGGCACCCCAGGAATATTTTAACTTTAATGTGTCAAGTTTATCAATTTCCTTTTTGATTTGTGCTTTAAGAGTTTTGTTTAAAAAAACTATCTGCCTCCATGTTATAATAACATTGTCTTATATTTTCTTTAACCCATCTGGTATTTATGGTCTTCATATCCATCTAGAATTTATTTTTTGTGTATAGTGTAAGGCCCTATATGTATAACCCATTGTGTCACCCCCCCCCCACACACACACACACTCTGTAATGACACTTCTGTATTATATAAAGTTTCCATATATACCTGGGTCTGTTTCTGAGCTCACTAGTCTATTTCTGCACCAGTATCATACTGTCTCGGTTTCTGTAATTTCGTAATACACTTTGATATCTGAGAACAAGTCCTCAGTGCTGTTCTCTTTAAAATCGGCCTGCTTATTCTTGGCCTGTTGCTCCTTAATATAAATTTTAAGAGCAGGTTATCAAGTTCTGTGAGAAATTCTTTATAGACTGATTGAAATTGCTTTAATTTACATACCAGTTTGGGCGATTTCTGCAAGTAATACAATATATAAGGGGAAAATGGCTTAAACAATGAGAACGTCTGTGTCTTATATGAGAAGTCTGCAGGAGGTGGCTGCGGGTGGTGCAGTAGCCTGATGATCTAATCAGCAAGGTAGCTGTGTCCACTTTCCTGTGGATGTCTCAGTGCTCGACTGGCTTTCATCCTCATGATCCAGGAGGCTGGCCCAGCTCCAGGCAGCATGTCTTCATGTAACTGTGTCCCAGGAGAAGAGAAAAGGAAAACTTCTGTTCATGTTTCTTTTTCTCAGGGAAGAAAGTCTTTTCCAGAAGAGGTTTCTCCAGCTGACTTTCCCTCGAGATCCATTGGTTGAGAACAAATCATTCATATTCTTAATATTTTTCTGTTCTTCCCGTTTCATTCTCTGATACAGGTGTGTTCAAATATTCAGCATAACTGGGATTTATCAGCATCTTCTTGTCTGATTCTGTAGGTTGTCGATTTAGGTGTCTGTATTAATAGGAACCGTTCATGTGTTTTTGAATTTGGGATTGGAGCTCATTTTGATGAGAGGGTGTTTTGTTTGTTTGTTTGTGCCATTGTTTTCTTTGGTTCTCTCTTATACTCTTCCCTCCATGTCTAATAGTCTGTGCAGTTCCTTGGCCTCTAGTCAAGAACCAGGCCTTATGTCGGGTCTCCTGCTGTGTGGTAATATCATACTAAGCCAGAAGCAACGTGGTTCATTTTCTGGGGGTAAAGATAGGTCACCTGGTTCAAGGGAACCTTTTTAGTTCCCCAACCCCAGTAGAAGCTGAAATTCCGATCATTGCTGCCTGCCTGTGTCTGGATTTGGGGTGCAGTAGGCCTGTCTTCGGGCTTGGCCCTTTAGAGATCTTTTCTTTTCCTTATACTCTGCCGTCCTGCCCTTCTCTTTTTTTCTGCTTTTTAACCTCTACATGTCTTTCTTGTTTTCTCTTTCTGTATTTTATCAATCTTTGCTCTGTTTTGGGAAGAGAACAGATGTGTCAAAACATTTAACTTCTAGACATCTCTACTGGCAGTCCATATACTACTTTTACAATCAGGGGGGAAAATGCATCATTTCAGGAAAAAAAAAATTCTGCTTAAAGTTTCCTTTGTCTAAAAATAAATTTTGCTTTTCTCTATTTTATTAGAATCATTCCTGGAAACAAAGCTTCTAATTGTTGACTTGGGATTTGAATATTTAAAAAGCTGGTTATTGCAGATGTATGCTACTTCCTGTCCTTTTCTTCATTTGCGGGAAAGAGGAAGAAAGAAAATTGAAATCTAGTTATAGATGCTTTGATTCATCAAGC